AAAAGAGATAATAGGCTGGGCACAGTGGCTCATGCCTGTAATCTCAGCACTTTGGGAGGCCAAGGTGGGTGGATCACCTGAGGTCAGGAGTTCAAGACCAGCCTGGCCAACATGGCAAAACTCATCTCTTTTAAAATAAAAAAGTAAAAAAAAAAAAAATTTAAAAAGAGATAAGAGACATAGAAGATACTCTGAGAAGGTCTAGTATACATATAATTGGGAGTTTCAGAAAGAAAATAGGAAGTAGAATAATGCCCTCATCACCAAAATATCCATGTCCTAATCTCCAATGGCTGTGAATTCCTTTAGATGAAAGAGGTTTTTTTTTTTTTTTTAAGACAGTCTCGCTCTGACACCAGGCAGGAGTGCAGTGGCACAATCTCGGCTCACTGCAATCTCCGCCTCCTGGTTCAAGTGATTCTTCTGCCTCAGCCTCCTGAGTAAGTGGGCTACAGGCCCGCACCACCACACCCCGCTAATTTTTGTATCTTTTTTTTTTTTTTTAGTAGAGACAGCGTTTCACCATGTTGGTCAGGATGGTCTCAATCTCTTGATCTCGTGATCCGCCCACCTCAGCCTCCAAAGTGCCGAGATTACAGGCGTGAGCCACCGCACCCACTGGCAAGAGGAATTTTTTAGCTGTGATTAAGGATCCTGAAATGTGGAGATTATCACAAGGATCCTTGTAAGAGTGAAACAGATGTGTCAGAGGCTTGTAGAGAGATTTGGAGGTGGAACACTACTGGCTTTTTTTTTTTTTCAGACGGAGTTTCACTCTTGTCACCCAGGCTGAAGTGTGATGGCATGATCTCAGCTCACTGCAACCTCCACCTTCCGGGTTCAAGCAAATTCTCCTGGCCCACTACTGACTTTTTTAAGATGGAGAAAGGGGCCATGAACCAAGGAAGGCACAGTCTTACTGACACCTTGATTTCAACACCGTAAGACCTAATATTTGTATTTTTAATAAAGATGGAGTTTCACCATGTTGGCCAGGCTGGTCTTAAAACTCCTGACCTCAAGTGATCCATACACCTTGGCCTCCCAAAGTGCTAGGATTACAGGTGTGAGCCACCACATTATGCTAAAGAACTGTAACATAATAAATTTGTATTATTTTATGCCACTAAGTTAGAGGTAATTTTGTATAGCAGAAACGAGAAACTAATACAGGACAAAAAAAAGTACGCCAGGTGTGGTGGCTTATACCTGTAAATTCCAGCACTTTGGAAGGCCGAGGCAGGTGGATAACCTGAGGTCAGGAGTTCGAGACCAGCCTGATCAATACGGTGAAACCCTGTCTCTACTAAAAAAATATAAAAATTAGCCAGGCGTGGTGGTGGGCACCAGTAATCCCAGCTACTTGGGAGGCTGAGGCAGAAGAATCAGTTGAACCCGAGAGGAGGAGGTTGCAGTGAGCCAAGATCGCACCATTGTACTCCAGCCTAGCCATGAGAGCAAGAGTCCGTCTCAAAAAAAAAAAAAAAAAATTAGCTGGACGTAGTGGTACATACCTGTAGTCCCAGCTACTCGGGAGGCTGAGGCAGGAGAACTGCTTGAGCCCAGGATGCAGAGGGTGCAGTGAGCCAAGATCATGCCACTGCACTCCAGGCTGGGTGACAAAGCAAGACTCCACCTCAAAAATAAATAATAATACAGGATAAAAAAGCAAATGATATAGAGGCAATATATGAAGAGATAATGGCTGACAATTTTCCAGAACTGATTAAAGAAATTGCTCCACACGTTAAAAGAAATTTAATGAATCCCAAGCAGAATTAGTGAAAAGAAATTAAGCCAGGCACAGTGGCTTGTGCCTGTAATCCCAGCACTTTGGGAGGCCAAGGTAGGCAGATCCTATGAGGTCAGGAGTTCGAGACCAGCCTGGCCAACATGGTGAAACCCTGTCTCTGCTAAAAGTACAAAACTTAGCCAGGCGTGATGGCACATGTCTATAGTCCCAGCTACTCGGGAGGCTGAGGTAGGAGAATCGCTTGAACCCGGGAAGCAGAGATTGCAGTGAGTTGAGATTATGCCTCTGCACTCCAGCCTGAGCAACAGAACAAGACTCTGTCTCAAAAAAAAAAAAAGAAAAAAAAGGTAAAAAGAAATTCATATTGGATATACTATACTAAAACTGCAGAAAGCCAAAATCAGAGAAAACTCTAAAGGCAACAAGAGTGGGAGGATAGTGTTCCAAAGTATGCTTAAAGGAGCAACTGATAAACTAAAACTAGACTAGATAAGGGCTGGGTGTGGTGGCTCACACCTGTATTCCCAGCACTTCGAAAGGCTGAGGCAGGATGGTTGCTTTAGGCCAGGAGTTCTAGACCAGCCTAGCCAACATAGCAAGACCCTGTCTCTAAAAACAATAATAAAATAAAATAAATCAGATGAAAAAAACGTATACCATGCAGTCACCAAAAGAGAGCTGAAATGGCTATACTAATAGCAGATAAAATGGACTTTAAATTAGACAAGATAGACTTTGAGTTAAAGTTACAAGAGAAAAAGGACAGTATACGTTAACAAAAAATTCAATCCTGCAAGAAGAAAAAATTGTAAACTCCAGCCTGGATAACAGAGCACGATCCTGTTTCAAAAGAAAAAAAACTATTCCAAACAAAAACTTTATTTAAAAACACACAATTGGCCAGGTGTGGTGGCTTATCCCTATAAATCCCAGCACTTTGGCAGGCCAAGGAGGGTGGATTGCTTGAGTACAGGAGTTCCAAACCAGCCTGGGCAGCATGATGAAACCCTGCTTCTACAAAAAAAAAAAAAAAAAAAAAAAAAATTAGCTGGGTATAGTGACACACACCTGTAGTCCCAACTACTTGTGAAGCTGAGGCAGGAGGATAGCTTGAGTCCAGGAGGTCGAGGCTGCAGTGAGCAGAGATTGCACCACTGCAGACCAGCTTGGGCAAGAGAGTAGGACTCTGTCTCAAAAACGACAACAATAACAACAAAAACAAAACACCACGTATGTACACAATTAAAATGTTCAACAATAATGTAGAAGTGGGAAGACAGTGTTAATAGTCTAAGCTCTTTGAGTTGCCTGGGAAAATGAGAAAGGTGTTGATGAACCTTGAAATTGGTAAGTTAAGGCTATATACCTTAATTTCTAGGATAACCACTAAAAAATGGAAATGGGGGAGGAGGGAGGCTTGGGGAAAAAAAATAGAAATGGGGTACATAACTTCCAAAGTAACCAAAGGAAAAATGGAGAGATACAGAATATTTAACCAATTCACACCAAGGCAAGAAAGGAGAGAATAAGATATAATAGGCAAGACAAAATAGAATAAACACAATAGACTGACTCTTCATTTCATCAGTAATTGCAACAATTTAAGTAGACTAAATGGTCCACTTAAATACAAAGATTATCAGACTGAATTTTTTAAAAGTCCAACTAAATGCTGTTTTCTGAGGCTGGGCACAGTGGCTCACGCCAGTAACTCTAGCACTTTTGGAGCCCAAGGTGGGTGGGTTGCTTGAGTCCAAGGGTTCAAGACCAGCCTTGCCAACATACCAAGACCCCATCTCTACTAAAAAATAAAAATAAAAAATTAGTCGAGCATGGTGGTATGTGCCCATAGTCCCAGCTAATTGGGAGGCTAAGATGGGAAAATTACCTCATCCCAGGAGGTCAAGGCTACAGTGAGCCGAGATGGCACCACTGCACTGCAGCCTGGATAACAGAGTGAGACTCTAACTCAAAATAAAATAAAATAAAGATCTTTGGGTTAGATTAAAGTAATATTTAAAATATAAAAAAAGGAGATAAATGCTGTTTTCAAGGGAAACATGTAAAATGCAAGCACACAGAAAAGTTTTAAAGTAAAAAGATAGGCCAGGCATAGGGACTCATGCCTGTAATCTTAGCATTTTGGGAGGCTGAGGAAGGTGGATCACCTGAGTTCAAGACCAGCTTAGCCAACATGGAGAAACCCTGTCTCTACTAAAAATACAAAAATTAGCTGGGTGTGGTGGTGCACACCTGTATTCCCGGCTACTCAGGAGGCTGAGGCAGGAGAATTGCTTGAACCTGGGAGGTGGAAGTTGCAGTGAGCCGAGATTGCACCACTGCACTCCAGCCTGCGTGACGGGAGCAAGACTCCATCTCAAAAAAAAATAATAATAATAAAATAAAGTAAAAGGATAGAAGAAAACAGAGTAGGCAAACAGAAAATAAAGTACAGTACTCTTAGAGGCGAGCTTAATTTCTATTCTAACCAAACAGCAGTGGCTCCCTCAGCATGGGGTTCAGGCTGTCAGCAACAAGGCTTTGCAAGTAAGCCAGCAGCCATCAGGGTCATGCCTGCCTCTCTGCTTCCTAGGGCCTTTTGCCCCACAATCCCCCTGTGATTATTATCACCCACCATTCCCAGGTGTAACTCTGCCTTTATCTCTTTTGCTAGGAGCTCCAAACCAGCCTATCCACATCAGCTAGGGGACTCAAGAGAATAGCCCTACACAGTCAGCAGGACCCCTGAATAGGGGAGCATCTCCTTGCTTCCCCCTGTTAAACGGGTATGCTGACGTGGCGAATATATTGGGGTCTGGCCAGTGAGATGACTCTGGGTAGAATAATTTCAAACCCTCAAGTAAGCCACAGCAAATCCTCTTGGGTGGCCAGAAGCCTACCAGGTTTCTATCTGGAAGAAATAAAGGGGCTTGTTGATGTGGTGAAAGCTCACCCTTGCCCGGGCGAACGGTTTTGAAATCACATCTGATTGCATAGGTGATCAAGGAAGCAACTATCTTCACTTAGCCATCTCTGTCCCCTTCAGGCTTGGCTCAGCTATCACCACTGCCAGAAAGCCTGTCCTGACCCACTTCTGCTCAGGTTGGGAAGCTGCCGTGGGGCCTTGTTTAGGAAGGTTCTTGACACTTGTCTGGATTCCGGGGAAGGACTGCCTGGAGGCCCGACAGTTCACCGTCCTGAAGCGGTACCCGGGCAAGCATCGGGCCCAGACGCCGCAGTCACTCACCACTGCAGGTGGAAAGTGTGGCCGCAGTGGATGGCAGCCACATCGCGGGAGTGGTCAAAGAAGTCGGAGCAGATAGTGCACAGAGCACGGATAGGCATGATGGCTGGACTCAAGGGGGCCCAGGTAACCAAGGAAACTGCTACAGGTTCGGCTTCGTGGACGCGCCGCCGCGCCTCCACTCGCTTCAAATTTGGCTCCGCTGCACGACTTCCTTGAGTGGGCCGGAAGTGACACAAAACTCTGAGCGGAGCCTGAATACTTTGTCTGGATTGGACAAGCCCTTGGAGGGCGGGACCAAGGACGACGCTTAGCGGCCCCAGAGGCAGTAGAGAATCCTGGGCGGAGCGCCGGCTCTATGGCGTCATCTGGGAGGACGGACTCGACCTACCACTTGAGAGCGCAGCGTTATATCAAGGCAGAAAGCAGCGAGGCTGCCAACTGGATCCTTTTCCAGGGAAAGGCAGCGTGTTGTGGTCCCAAACCAGAGCTGGCGCGAGGCAGTCTGGGCCAAGGGAAAGAAAACGGCAGCCGCAAGGGAACAGAACGATGGTCCCGACGAGTCTTTTGAGCTTTGGACAGTGCTGGACCGTGCGCTGTGGTCTATAGTTCCCACAGACCAAAATACTCTACCCTTCCAGTCCTCAGTTTCGGGCAATTCTGAAAAGACGGACACATAGGTCCCAGTCCCTCAGGTCACCCCAAGCCAACCTTGGCTTCATCCAAGTAAGACATGACTATCTTTGAGTTTGGAGACACTCGGGCCAGTATCCTGACTTTAGCTCTTAGCTCCAAGAAGGATCAGTTATGCTTGGGACTGTAGTAGAGTTGGAATTTTGGAGGCCCAGTTGCTTCAAAGACTAAATACTAACAACCCCTTTTTATTTATTTTTATTATTTTTAATTATTTATTTATTTAGTTATTTTGAGACAGTTTCGCTGGAGTGCACCAGGCTGGAGTGCAATGGTGCGATCTCGGCTCACCGCAACCTCTGCTTCCCGGGTTCAAGCGGGTCTCCTGCCTCAGCCTCCCGAGTAGCTGGGATTACAGGCATATGCCATGATGCCTAGCGAATTTTGTATTTTAGTAGAAACAGGTTTCTCCATGTTGGTCAGGCTGGTCTCGAACTCCCGACCTCAGGTGATCCACCTGCCTTGGCCTCCCAAACTGCTGGGATTACAGATGTGAGCCACTGCACCCGACCAAACCCTTTTTATTATTCCCACATCAGAGAAGTTATCTTTGAGGAGGTTATCTCTGAGGTCATCTCAGAGAGCAGCATCCCTGATGAGTTCACCCAGGACCACCTGGGCTGGAGTAAGTCAACTTTTGGGTTTTTAGGCTTAGTATTTGTGGCAGTGTTACTCCCTTCACCCAGAAGAAACCTTATGCAGAGCCGCATAATCTAAAGCTGATCTGCTCCAGCTGAAATAGACCCAGAGTGAGATTTCATTTGGGGCCTATGTGGAAAGCACAGGTGCTCACAGGAAGAAGGAATCAACACAGAGCAGCATGGAACCTTTGTGCATTGCTCACCTTACACCCTCTCCCCTGCTCAGGGAAGCTATCTCTGGCTATGAGCAGGATCTGTCCTTGTGGTGCTGACCCTGGGTAGATTCCAGCTCTATGCCTAAATCAAGAGTAAGGCTCCTTAGTCAACAGGAGTCAAAACAGCAGCCCTTACTTTGAGGTCTCAGCCCAGGAGGTATTCCTTGGTCCAAATGCAGCCCAACACCCAGTACCCACATGGATTTCTAAATTCCAGAGGACCCTCCCACCACCACCATTGAGGAATACTGTGGTGAAGATGATCTTCACTCTCAGCCCAAGAAATCCACAGGGCACTGAACACCAGCCACTACTTGTGAACCTGCTCCCAGCCTCTCCCCTTCCCACTGCCTTCCAGGGGCTCCTCCAGTAGGACAGAGGAAGCAAAGGCGAGAGGGTGGCCAGAGGCTTTGCAGGATGATGTTTATTTGCCAGGTTCAGCAGGCACACAGTTAACCCACCGACCTTCACACACCAGAGCAGACCCATAGGCATGCAGGGAGAAGGGCAGGACCACCACGGAGTGCCGAGCAAGGGCGAGGACCAATGTGGTTGCCTGTCCAGGCTGTGATAGGGTCTGACAAAGGGCATCTGTCAGGATTCTCCCTCAGGAAACTAGGGAGTTTAACTCTACTTCCTCATCCCAGCAAAAGCAACTCAATGTGGCTCTGAGGCACCTGGGCCTCTGATAGAAGTGAGCTGTAGAAATAGAGGGAGTTCCTCTTCATTTCATTGTTGAAGTAAGAGCAGAAAATCTGCCCCTATAAAGGGCAAACCCCAAAATCAGATTATGGGGTACTGCCATGCAACAAGCCCCCTAGTGTGGCGAGGACTTGTGGGCTGAGATTGTAGAGGGTGGGCATCTAAGAAGAGCAAGGGGATATCAGCCCTCCCTGTTTGACCAGGGTAAGGACCCAGTTAGTCTGGGACACTGGGTGCTGGGCTTGTACTCTGCCCTCCCAGGTCTCATTGCCACATCCTAATTGTTCCTCCTTTCCCTTAGAGGCTTATGATATTCAGCATACAAGGCAGCCCACTGCAGGACTCAGGAGAGCAGGAAATAACACAAGGGTCTTAGGAGGGACAAAGATGGAAGCTTCTGCCCTCCTACTCATTCTCTTCCACTTCTGAGGACCCCCACAGCTAGTAAGCAGTGCCCCCAGCCATGTGCCCAGTCTGGACTTAAACATACTCCCCTACCTTTCTGCATCCTCTATACCAGCCTGTATCCGCTCCTAGAGCAACCCACACACCACAGGCACACACCTTCATGTGCAGGAGCCTAAGACCGCTGACAGGGCCTCGCTGGAGGACCAGCTCTCAGGGCAAGGCCACCCAAATTTAGGGCCTGGGAGAGTGTGGGACCTGCAGGGCCTGCCTGGGGGAATGGTGAGGCAAGAAGGGAAGGGGAAGGAGAGCAGGAGCCTCCTGAGTATCCCTAGAGCAGCATCCCACAAGGAACAGAAACTGGTGAAGCTAGCAGAAGACAGAAAAGCCACAAGGAATCCATGCAGGGGCTGGGGCCGGCCCTGCCTCTGGCCTGCCCACCACTCACACACATACACACAGGAGACGAGACTGCTCTCCCGTGACCCCTAGGTATGCCCCACTGGGATGCGGGGGCATGGGGGAGCGAGGGCATCATGCCAGTGACTCTATGTACAAGAAGCCCCTCATTCACTCTTCCACCCTTCTGCCCATCCCCCGCCCCCCCTCACCAGGCTGCCTACTCAGCTGGTCTCCTCCCTTTGAGACTCCTGGGCATAACCAGCAGCCTCTTCCCCTTTACTGGAGGGTGGAGCCTGGCCTGTGGCGCCCTCTGGGGCTGTGCTGTCCGGCTGGGCCATAGCCGGCTCAGGGGTGGCAGCTGCCTTGGTGGCCAGTGTGGCACTGCTTTGGGTGGTGGGCACAGTGCTCTCTTCTGTGGCTGGTGTGGCTCTCCCATCAATGGCTGGAGTAGTGCTCCTGTCAGTGGCTGGGGTGACACTCCCATCAGTGGCTGGGGTGATGCTTCCATCGGTGGCTGGGGTGACACTGCCATCAGTGGCACTTCCATCTGTGGCTGGGGTGGCACTACGGTCTGCGGGGGCCACATTATCACTCTTTGCAGCACGAGCAGCATCACCCTCAGGGGCTGAGGTAGCTCCACTCACAGCTGCAGCTGTGGCCCCACCTGTAGCCCCAGGGGTGGCAGTGTCTGCTGCTGAGGCTGACTGTGCTGCAGCCATGCTGGACTGCTCTGGCGCTCGGAGCCGTTTCATGAGGGTGGTCACTCGGACAGCCTTCTGAAAGGAGCACAGTGGAGAAAGGCTAAGGGTAAGGCTTGCTGGATCCATTGCATGGCAGTGACCAAACCAAACCCCTTCCATAGTACCCCTGGCTGTCTCCAACCACCCCAGGGCCAAATACCCAGCTGCTCAGCACTCCTACTTAAGATAATGACAGTGGCTACACCCACACCTGATGGCCTGAGTAAAGCTTGTGTGTGGCTGCAGGGGTGTGATGCAGGCAACAAGCTGAATGCCAGAAGGAATACTTGGGATAGAGCCAAGAAGAGAGCTATCCAAGCCTTACCTTCCACTTGGCCCTGGCAAAGTTCTTTTCAATCTGGGCACAGACACCATCCTTGATGTTCTTATCAGAAGCAGCATTGCCAGAAATCCTGGAAAGGGTGCAAGTGTGTCTGGATCTGAGGGGATGAGCCTTGTGGAGACTCTGCCCACCTCTTTCATGTGGCATCCAGGGACTACCAGGTAGAATCTCTGGGTGGGCCTGAGCTCTAGGTGCCTGTATCCCCTCAGGCCTCAAAAATGGGGCTGCTAGGTGTAAGGGGGACTCTGGCCTCTCCCACCCTCCCTTAGGCCCTGCTCACCACTCATGGGAGATGGCCTCTTCTGCAGTGATTCGCTGGTCTTGCTCCACCTCCATCAGCCTTGTGACCAGGTCTTTGGCTGTGAACAAAACCAAAGAGGGGCTAGGCATGGGCACTCCATCTCAATGTCTAGAGGTGATGAATGGGCTGGGGGACAGAAGCAGAATCCCACAGAGGAAACCGAGAGCAGGAACCCTACCCACTGCTGTGCACTCTTACCAAGTGCTGGGCAGTCACCTCCTCACCTGCCTGCGAAATATCATCCCAATATGGAGAGTCAAACTCATAGTCACCAGCCAGGATCTTGCGGAAGAGATTCTTATCATGGTTCTCATAGTCATCTTCTTCCACCTCTTCATAAAAAGGTGGGTTGCCTGAAAGCCTGCATGGGGGAAGGGTCACACAGAAAGGCCACAGACACACACTCCCACCCCATCTGACTGCAAGTCTGCTTGTCCATGTGTCCACTCACAGGATGTACATGATGACTCCAATGGCCCAGCAGTCCACAGGGCGTCCATACCGCTGCCGGCCTACCACCTCCGGGGCTACAAACACAGCACCCATCTGCTGGTCAGTATCAGGCCTAGCCAGGTCCAGTACCATCCACAACCACTTCTTGAGATAAGCACATTTTCCCCCTGCTCAGAGCAGCTCCCTGAAGCCTGCCCCCCATTCTCCTCCTGCCCCTGCCCCTGCCCCACCCCCTGCTTGCCCAGATACTCGGGGGTCCCACAGGGCTCCTTGATGAGGCCATTTTCTAGCTTAGCCAGATGGAAGTCACTGATGACAATCTTCGAGTTTTTCAGCCGGTTATAGTAAACAAGGTTCTCCAGCTGTGGTGTGAGAATAACATGTGAGCACCAGAGCAGAAGACACCATGAGGGCCTCGGAGGCTAGACCAAGGCCCCAAGGTGCTGCCCACCCCACCCCAGCCCAGCTGCCAACTGGCCCTTTGACTATGGCTCTGGCCTCACCTTGAGGTTCCTGTGCACGATCTTGAGTGAGTGCAAGTAGGCCACGGCCTCCAGGACCTGCCGTACCACGTTGCTCGTGTCTCGCTCAGAGTAGTAGCCCTGGTCCAGGATCCAGTCAAACACCTCCCTCCCCGTGGCCCTGAGGGACACCAGCCCCTGAGCCTGGCGTGGGCGGAATTGGGGGTGGGGCAGGAGCACTTGGGTGAGCTGTCTATGCCAGGCAGCTGGCTGAGCAAGGCACAGGGACCTGGGACCCCAAGGGTCCAGAAAAGGGGGTCTCCTTAGCTGCAGGGGGTGGGACAGGTAAAGGCCCTGGGCACTGAGGAATCCTGGTACCCCAGACCCACACTCACAGCTCCAGGAAGATGAAATACTCCTTGCGGGTCACAAACACATCCACCAGTTGCAGGATGTTGGGATGCTTCACCCTGGCGACAGGGAGGGGAGCCAGTAGTTAGAGCTGGATGAACCCCTGGGAGAGACTCTTGTCACCACAGTGGCCACTGCAGACTAACTGGCCAGAAGCTGGGACTACCTGAGGCCACTTGCCCTCTAAGCCCTTCCCTCTTGCTTCCCACACCACCCCAACCCCAGGCCTCAAACTCACATCTTGAGGATGCCTATCTCGTTCTTGGCAGCTTTCCGCACCTTGCGGCCGTCCCGCTTCTGGAACTTCTTACAGGTGTGCAGCTTGCCTGTTGTCTTGTCCTTGGCCCGGAAGATTTCACAGAACTCCTCACTGCAGCCGACAGGCACCCACTCAGCCCTGGCCTTAGCGTCAGCTGCACTCCACTCCCACTTCCCTAGCCCTTGCCCACCAGCCCACCCAGCCCTGCCTGACAGGCCCAGCCCAGCACTCACGTCTTGATGACCTGTCCCAAATCATATCTGTCAGTCACTTCTGACGGCTGGTTATAGTTCTTCTTGTCGCCCAGAGTCACACACCCAAACGGCATTGCCGGGCTCTAACCTGCAGGCACAAGGGGATCTGGCTTAACTATACTACTCTCCACCTCCCCACAACATAGGGGCTGCCTTTGGGAGACCCCAACCTGGCTAAGGCCAAACCAGGAGCAGAGACCATACCCGGAAGGGCTAGAAAACAGGCAAACTCAGATCCTACCCCTGCTTTTCTGGCCATACATTCAGCTACTCAGCTTGGCTGCCTGAACTACAATAGCCCACATAGGAAAAATAAACTGATATGTAAGGGAATAGTTTTGCATTCTATACATTTTAAAAAAAGACTTATCAAACAGCTTATTTAAATTTCAGCTATTTCACAGATTAAGGGAGCTATAATCACCCACCCACCTGCTAGTCATCTCTGAAGGTCTAGAGCTAACAAGTGTTAATGAAGGTATGAAGAACGTGAGCACTGCTAGGAGAGGGCAACCTCCCCTTTGTAAAGCAGTTTGGTAAAACCACTAAAGTCAAACAAACATACCCTGTAAAGCAGTAATTACACTCCTAATACGTGCCTACAGAAGTACACACATTCGTGCATCAGGACAGTCATACAAGAATGCTCATAGTGGCCATATACATAATCGCCAAAAATTGAAAACAGACCAGATACCACCACCGACAGGATATATTGTGGTAGAGTCACACAATGGAATAGTATACAGCAATGGAAAGAAAAAGCTTCAGCTATACCCAACCACATGGTGACTCTTACACAGTGTTAAGTGCAAAAAAAAACACAAAAGAATACATATAGTATGAGTCTATTGATAGAGAGTTCAAATAGGCAGAACAAACCCATACTGGGGACACAAACACAGCAGTAGAGCTATAAAGAAAAGCTAGGAAATAAGCAGAGTCAGATAATAGTCCCTTATAAGAGAAAAGGAGGGGTTATGATTGAATTAGGACACATGGGGGGATTCTGGAAGACCTATTTCTTTTCTTTCTTGCTTGCTTGCTTTTTTTAGAGACAGTTATTGCTGTGTTGCCCAGGCTGGAGTGCAGTGGCTATTCGTGGGCACAAGCACACTACTGATCAGCACAGGAGTTTTGACCTGCTTTGTTTCTGACCTGGGTAGTTTCACCCCTGCTTAGGCAACCCGATGATCTCCAGGTCCCGGGAAGTCACCATACTAATGCCAAACTGGGTGTAGACACCCAACTGGCATAGTGCGCTACAGCCCAGAACTTCTGAATTCAAACGATCTTCCCACCGCAGCTGGGATTATAAGCACCCACACTATGCCCAGCTGTTCTGTCACCCAGGCTGGAATGCAGTGGCACGATCACAGCTCACTGCAGCCTCAACCTCCTGGGCTCAAGGGATCCTTCCACCTCAGCATCCTGAGTAGCTAGGACCGAACCACAGGTGCACACCATCACACCTGGCTAATTTTTCAAATTTTTTTATAGATACACGATTTTATTATGTTTCCCAGGCTGTTCTCGAACTCCTGGGCTCAAGTGATCCTCCTGCCTCAGCTTCCCAAAGGGCTGGGATTACAGGCATGACCCACCATGCCTGGCTTGGGTAGAATTTTTAAAGTTTACATATTGATGCACATTCACAAACTCTTTTCTGAAAGAATATTGAAGGAAATAAGAGTTTTCTCTTCTGGGCAAAAAAATTGTGTGTCAAAAAGGCAGACATCTTTTGTTTATTTTCTGTTCAAATATCTACTATTTTATTGTAATGAGTTTGATGGGTTTAGTAAATATTGCACTCAGGCACAGTGCTTGGGTGATTCCTCAGAGGGACAATCTGGGTGGAGAGGGAAGGTAAAGCTTTGGAGGCAGCGTTAGGAATCAGAAGGAAGGATTTGCCAGGAGGCATGCAGGTATACCGGTCAGAAAGAACAAGACAAGCCTGATCCTGGCCCCAGCTTTCAGCTCTGCATATGCATTCACGCCCACTGGGGCCCACAGGGGACCTGGGTTGTCAGGTCCAGGTGCAAGTCCCCCAAACAGAACAGATACAGCTGGCTCAGTGAGCTCTATGCACTCTTTCCACCTGGGGCACAGTGTCCCACAGGTCTGCAATCCTGCCAATTACAGCCCAATCCTCATCTGTAGTACTGGGTGGGCTAGTGCCAGTGTCCAAAGGAAAAGGCACTCATTAGCCCATGTTCAAAGGTGGGGGTTGGGGATTAGTGACTAGACTTCACAGATCTGACCTCAGGGTGTACCTCCATAATGCCTGGTCAGTGTGACACTGGGGCTATAGCAAACTCTGCACTGAGTCTGCACTGAAATTTCTCTGCCTCTGCTGACTGTACATGTTTTCCCTCCATGCCAATTAGCACTTGCTATGTGCAGGGCCTAAGCTAGGGCCTGGGGGTACCTAGATGCTCCCCCATCTGAAGGCACTCACAGTCTCAGGGTAGTGGAGAAGGGAGGAGGCAGGTTGGCAAGATGAACTCTGCCAGCCAAAGTCAAAGACCAGGACCCAAACAAGCCCCATGGCCAACCCTGGCTGCTACTTGTTTCCTCCCAGGCAGAAGCCAGCCAACCAGGCTGTGATTCCCAGGAGTCACAGTCCTGGAAATTCTACCTCAGATTTCCCTTCAGCATTAGGGAACAAATTCTATCATTCCTTCATCTGGGTTGCTTGGGCTCAGGAAATACAAACACATTTCATCAGCGTTATTCCAGCTAGGGTTTAAGCAGAGGCAAATGAGAGGCTTTGAAGATCGTCACTGACTGCATGTCTGCCACCATGGCCACAACCCTGCATCTCCTCCACTGGGAAGAAGCATGTGGCCAGAATCCCATCCTCATAGCTGAAAGCAGAGGCATTGCCAGTTACCAATGCTGGCCACACATCTTCACCCCATAACATCTGCAGGAGGGGGCCTGCAACAGTCCTCTCATCAACTCTAATAGGCAGCGATTCCCCTCCCAGGCTGGAATCTGAAGGCCATGTACTGGGCAGGAGGGTAGTACCTTAGCCTGCAGTCTCCCATGAGGGCTGGGAGGGACCTGTGCCCCAGCTTGGTTGCTTTGCTTATACCATTCCCTCTGGCAAGAGTGCCCTTCCCCCAAAAGCCTCCCGTCAGATTCCTTTTTGTCACGGCCGAGTTATTTATAACATTAAAAAAATTCAGCAACAGTACCTAAATGTCCAACAACAGGTGACTCGCCAGCTCAACTGTGTCCACTCAATGGTAGGAAGTGTGGGCACTGGCAAGCACTCTGCCCACCTTGGCTTTCCTGTGGAGTAGCTGCCACATGAGCGAGGTGCTGAGAGCAGAATTGAATCTCTTCTTTCATTGTGATTTCTGACATTATAAGGTGGTTTGTGCAACACACTGTCCAAAACAATCCTCATCCTCAAAGGCCAGACTCAAAATGGCCCTTTTCTCAGATAATTTCCACAACCTCCATGCCCCACCCCCCACCCCACTCCAACGGCTCCCAGCTCTGCCAGCGGGGCGTGGGTGGGAGGTTTTGTGCATGCCTGTCCCTGATCCTGGCCCCAGCTTTAAGCTCTGCATATGCATTCATGCCTACTGGGCATGCCTACTGGGCCCAGGGCTCGTCATGCGGATCTGTCTCTACCACAGAAAGCTGGGTCTCCACCTGTAATGTCAACCTAGAGCCATGTACTGCAACCTCAAGACTGAGATGGGAACAGATCTGTCTCCCCTGACCCCTACTATGGCTGCCTAGATTTCAGCCAGTCACTCCTCCTCCTCCTCACCAGTCTAACTACACTGGCGTGGGGCCCCAGACTTGGCCCCAGGGCAAAGAGAGTAGAATTTCAATTAGCACTTGGTTCCCTTCTCCCACACCCACTCCATCATCTGCTATCCACTGTTGCTCCCTGGGAGGCTTCGGGTGTGTTCACCAAGCCCTGGGCATCTGCCTGCAACAAAGGAAACCTGGGAGGAACAGCCAAGGGACAGCTCTCAGAAAGGTAGGAGGCCAGGCAGAAGGGGTTTGTATTTCTTATCCCCGTGGCCCAGACCCGACACCCAACAATGGGGAGTTCTCTCAGCAACACAGGACCTGAGCCTTCCTCAGGTACATGTTAGGCCATGGAAGGGCACAGGAGCCCCACAACAGCCATTTCCTGGAGACATAGCTCCCTCCACTCTCTGCAGAGGAACTGAACAGTGTGCACCGTCAGCTGCCCAAAGGGAGCTTGGGGGGAATGCAGACCCTGGTGCTGCCATTGCCCTCCATCTGGCTCTCAGGTTCCCTGAGAGCCAAGCACTCCCCAGTTACTGCCTGCTCCGGGGGCTTGACCACTGGGCTCAGGGAATTGAGCCTCTGGCAATCCTGAGGGATCCTCTGTCAGTGCCCTGGTGAAAAAGGGTACCCCAGGGACTTTACTGCATCTTTAGACAAGTCTGGCCCAGGGAAAGCCCAAGCAGCACAGAGGCCAAGAGGTCTAGAAGCCCCACATTGGGGTCCTGTCCCCTCCTTCACTGGGATCAGCATGGTCCAGGCCTTACCTGTCATAGCCATAAACAGGAGTTTCTTGTTCCCTTGGTCCCCTAACATGGGGCTCCAGAGCTTGCAATAAATCTAGGGAGGCCAAGAGGGGCCCAAGAGGCGTCCAGCAGCCTCTCAACAACTGTAGGCAATGCCTCCCAATTTAGTGGCAGCTGTGAACACCAGCCAGCAGGCACCCCCTCCTCTCTGCTGCTCTATTCTCTCAAGGACTGGGGCTGGGTTTCCTGCTGCGATGAACATGCCGAAGCCCAAGCCCTACCTAACTCACAGCTGATGTCACCCACAGGACCAGGGGAGCTGAAGACTTCACTCGAAGTCTGTCAGGAGGCAGGGCCGAGGTTCTAGACCACCATCCAGTTGCTTCAGGGGACCAGTCAAGGGGCTGCTTTGACTGAGCCTCAGACTCCAGCTAAATCATGGTAGAAATTCCTACAGCTGAATTTTGCCCATCTAATGAGGGAGTATCGGGGGGAGGTCTTTCCAGGCTTGGGGGTGGGCATGCAGTCCAGTGCTACATCCTGAAAGTTTAGCTTTCAACATGCAGGCAGAGTCAAAGGCCAATTGTCTCCTCCAAAGCACTTGGGGTCCCAATCTCTGAACCCCTAAAGGAGAATCCACTGGAGGCTCTGCTTCCCAGTGGGTGGAGGAGGGGAAATGCAGAGGAAGGCACTAGAGTAAAGGGTTGCTATGGTGATGGAAGTTTTAAAACAAGGGGAGGGGGAGGGGAGATGTGTTGGTTAGGTCCCTTCTTCAAGAATTTCCTGAGACTTTAGCCTGGCTTCTTCTTCAAGGTTCTGTGACCCAGGTCCCCATCAAGAAAGGGGATGTGGGGAGACTGAGAGAATTTAGAAAAAAAGAGAATGGGGCAGAGACACAGAGAGACAAAGAACTTGTGATGGAAAAGGAGCAAGGAAATGACAAAATAAAAGGGACACAGGCACAAAGGGCAGGAAAGGGTAGGTGGACGGGAGTTCTGAAGGGGGCTGAAGAGTGCCCAGCAGAGCCCTAAGGCCTCTAAATCCCTGGGCCAGGAGCTATCCATGGTACCTGGACCTTTGAGACTGCACCCTCCAGTATCCCCCACATATACACTGAACTCAACGTAGGAAGCACAGCCAAAAGGAGGCCAGCTCCTTAGAGCATCTTGGTGGGGAAGAGCCCAGCTGCTACAGCGCCCGCCCCCCCCCAGTCAGGACAGTTCCCAGCCCCTCTCTCTGCCATCACAGCAGCTTAGGTATGGCAAGTCCAACATGTTGAAGGCAGATGCATGGGGGGATGGAAATGAGGCTCGGATGCCTGGCTGCTTCCCTTTATAGTCCCTCTTCTCAGTTGGCCCAGCTGTACCTAGACCCTCCCAACCAACCCCTTCCCCCACCTGCTATCCTCTCCAGGCTTTCAGTCCCCAGAGCCCCTCTTACAGCTCTGCTTAATCCCCTCTCTCCACCCCCCCCAACAGCAGATCCTGACATGAATGCCAGAAACGGCATCACAAGCAACCCAAAAACAGGATAACAACTGCACAGCCCTTCTCCTCTCCATGCCTCAGTTTCCCCGAATAGAAACCATGGAATCTGGCCTTCTCCCAGGGCAGAGTACTGCTTGCCTGCCTGTGAGTAGTGGCTAGGGCGTGGGGCTGGAGAATAGGGTCATCAGAGCTATGTGAACAGCCAACCTAGGAGGGCACCTGGGAGGTCCACACCAAATGCTGTATTAGAAAAGGGAAACCCTTGCCCCACCCTGGAAACCAACCTGATTCTGAGGGGAGTGGAGACACCAATTTCTCAGTTGAGGAAACTGAGGCTCAGAAGTCGCTGAAGCTGCCAATAATCAACTCTGAGGCTGGGGGAGAACACCAGGTCTCTGAAGGTAGTCCTGGGGGCTCAAAGCCTGAGGTTGGGGATAAGGGGAGTACAGCACAGGGACTGGACTACTGCAGACTCTAAGCTTTTAGTGTGGGACAGAAGGCCCTGATCCTTAGGAAGAAACCTAGTGGAGCAGGCTCTGCCTGGGAGGTGCAGACAAAAGCAATTTGGCAGAGCTATGCGGGGAGGGGGCTGGGACTCAAGAGCCCAGGGTCTCTGCCAGACAGTACAAGCTGGGGAAGGCAGCTTATGCTGTCACTATCCCTGCCACCTCCAGCCATGGGCCCTGCTCCCCACCGTGGTGCCACCCTGACCCCCTTCCCAAGTGCTGCTGGCTCGCCCCCGCTGGCACAGCAACACACATGCGGAAAGCACACGTGTGAGCACTAAGCCCCGCACCTCCCAGCAGGAGCATGTGCGCCCCCACCCCCACCGTGCACGCGGGTCCGTGCATTGGACCCCCGGCTGGTCCCCAGGTGAAGGCTCAGAAGCTGAATTTTGGCTGGGGGCTGCTGGTCCCCAGGGGCTTGGAGCCTCCTCCCCCACCCCGCGGCAGCCCCGCCCAGCCCCCTCCGGGTTGTCGCCCATAAAGAACTCTCCGTTGTCATGGAAATTAGTGACTGCTAAGCAGGAGGGAAGGGGCCCGGGGACAGTTGGGAGGGGCTGGAGGCGGCTCTGGGAACGCGGAGGGACGTCTCAGCTCTCGGCCCCTACCCTCACAGGGGACCACGAATCTTCGAAGGTTAATCTTTTCATAACTCCAAGCCGCAGAGGCTTCCCCCTGGGACCCCCAAGCCGTCTGAGGTAATGGGGAACTTTAGCCCGACCCCGCACTCCGTCCCCCAGATCTGCAAAGCCCGCGCGCTCTGACCCCGCCAGGACCTCGAGCCCTCGCTGCGCCTCCGCGCACTCGGCATCCGGAACCTCAAGCCAGGGAAACAAACCCCCAAGGCCCCCCAACGTGCTTTCGGGAAGCGCCCCCAGCCCGGCCCGCCCCGCACCTGCAGCGCCGGTTGGTCACAGGGAGGAAGTGATCGCGGGCTCAGCGGGGCGCCGAGGGCTCCAGGGACGGCGGGCAGAATCCGCTCCGAGCACGCGGGGCAGACGCGGCGCCAGATGCAGCCGCTTCGGCTAGCGAACCTCCAGCATCGCCAGCCGCTTGCCGGCACCGGATTCGCACCCCGGGCCGGGGGCGGGCTGGGGGCGGGGCCTTCCAACCGGCCCCGCCCCGACCCTGGCGGAGCCTTAAGGGCAGAATCCCACTGGAGAGCAGGCGCGCGCGGGATGGCACCGGTGCTGGTGAGCACTGGCCTGCTTAGCCCTGGCCAAGGTCCTCAACGGCTCCATTAGGCCCTCAGACTGGGGCCGGAGGAGGCTTCCTATGTTCAATGTAAGGGGTGGGGAGTGAAGAGTTAGGGGAAAGCCTAAGTCTTGGAGTTGCGGAGGATCCCTTGCCAGCCATTATCTCTAGGGGACCCGGGCTTCGCCCAGCTTCCCGAACCCGACCCAAAAGGCAGGACCCGCTTAGAAAAACCAGATGGGCAGTCGGGCTAGGGCAGGCTCCCCTACAGACTAGCATCCTCTAGTTAGGAGCAGTAAACACACAGAGGTATGTGTTTGCAAGTAGTCAGTGTGTATATAGTGAGGGCCCTAGACTCTGGTAGCAAAGTCTCTATCCCACCCCACCCCCAACTCCTGCAAGGCCTCTGGTCTTTCCCAACCATAAGTCCCAGCCAGGGTGTCTGGCAGAGTCAGCCCCCTCCTGTGTGGCACCAAATTTCCCAAACTATAAAAGTGACCTGTGACATGGTGTGGCCTCTGCTTTCTTTTCAGTCTAATCACTCTAAAACACTTCCTGAGTAGCCTCACTCTAGGTGGCCGGGCCTGGGATATGGGGACACAGGAGAACTGTGGCACCAAGGTATCCCAACTGGCTTGGGCCCTGATAAGAGGGAGGAGGCTCAGAACCACCAGGAGGAAGCTTTGAAGCAAGTCCTTGGTCATTTCTCTGTCCCTTGTCAGTGAGGCTCATGGACCCAAAGCTGGCTCCATGCCACTCACAAGCCCTGAGGACCATCCTAAGGCCAGTATATGAAAGCCAGACTCAGGCCTCAGTGTCTGGAGCTGGGCTCTATCTTGCCCCACTCCTCCCAGTGAGCCTCCCAATCCTGCTGCAGAAGAGGGAGTTGGGGTCACCCCCAAACCCTCAGCCATCTTGAGGCTCCCCTGCATGGCAACCCATGGCTGATGACAGGAGGGACTGCTGGTTTAGGGCTCAGACTGGAAGGCTAATGTAGGAAGTGACCACCTCAGACAAGGTTCTTCCAAATATTCCTCCAGAGGGGGTACTGAGCCCTTCACATTCCTCCCTGGTTTGGGGTTACCTCCTCTAGGCCAGTCTGGTGCCGCTTCTGGGGTCACTGGGCTCTGAGTGGTCTCGGGTTATGGCACCCAGCCCACACTTGGTAGGAATCTTCTGGCAGGCTGAGTATCTGCAAGGCAGAACCCGTTTCTCATCTCAGTATGCTCGGCTGATGTCTGCAGAATGAATGAATGGCCTGGCACTGAGTTCTTCCTGCCATCTGCCCACTATTCTTGAAACAATGGGTCTCTGAGTTTTATGGTATAGCCAACCTGTGGCTTGCTGACCCTACACATGCCACACACATGTTTTCTGTCTTTCCTGAGGGTCATGGCTATCCAGGCATGGGGGTCAAAGAGAAGCTAGAATGGGGATTTTTAGGCAGAGGAAGAGGTAGCTCCCTAGCGCCCTGCCTGCTGCTGGCAGTACTCCACCTCTTCTTGGTCCTATGCACGCTCTGTGCATGTGGGTGAGAGCACGTGGCAGGGTGTGTATGCACACGTGTACGTGTGTATATGCTCTCTTTTGCTGAGGGAGATGCAACAGCACAGTGTATGCAATGGTGCCCAGGGGCACGTGTGTCTGCATTCTTTGTGCACCCAGGCATGCTTGCTGGCACGTGTGTGTGGACACTATAGCTGGTCCCTGGATTTGTCAGTGCCCTTCCTGCCTGACACAAGTCTCAGAATTGTAGAGGCTGAATCAGGCTTTGAGAGCCAGACATGGGAAGGGGGCTGGACCATGTCCAGGGGTGGGCAGGATCTGTGCTGACCCTACATCATTGGCTGTTTTCAGGCTCCCCACCAGAGCAGCCACTTGATCTCAGGTATATGTGAAGACAGACAAGTGTTTGCCATTTGTGGAGGGCAATCTGAAGACAAAAACCCAGGGTTAGGATTGAGCCATGGCTTATCCCTCAGTCCCCAGACAGGAAGGCACAGGCAGGGTAAGACTGGCTTCAATGTTTTGGCTTTAACCTCCAGCTGCCTTCAAGGCAGGCAATAGTAACACCAGCTGAATGCCATCCTCTTAGCTCTTCCAGGGCAGGGACTGGACCAATGCTGAGCTTTGTTCTTACTTCCACTATTCAAAGCCAAATGGGGTCAGGGGACATGATTTCTCACCACTCCACTGGCCAGAGAGATGGCAGGAGGCCCTTCCGCATAGAGCAGAGTTTGGAACAAGAGCAGAGGCAATTGAGATTGGCATTGTCTAGTATCCTTTATGAGGATCCCCCTAAGGAGGCCTGTACCCTGGAGGGCAGCAGCTGCTTGGGTTGAGAGGCTAAGGAGGAGAAGAGGCCCTAAGTTCATAGTTCTGGCTCCCACCAAATCTAGAAAGTCAGAGGGGCAGAATAAGATGTGGGCCGCAGTATCCACAGAGCCTCATCTCCCAGCTCAGGTTGAGCCTCCTACCCAGGATCCAGGACTTAGCTGCACTCCCAACTCCCTGCCCTAGGGTACCAAAGGGCAGCAATCCCATGACCTTAGATTCTGGCTGGCTGACAGAAGCCCCTGCTAACCCAGCATAGGGCTCCAGTAAAGGTTCGGACTCTAGGAGGTACCTAGATTAGCAGGACAGCTCCCCAAGAAGCCCAGACTCTGACAGAAACCTCCCATCCAGGCCCCCAGCCATCTTTGATATCGCTTGACTGTTGTCCATGTTGCTTGGCTTCAGCCCCCAGAAGAGGTCCCACAATGGAGGAGGGCAAACAGTCTTCTCCTCCGGAGCCAGGGGAGGGGGCTGCCCCCCACCCCCCACCTTGTGACTCACTCCAGGCTGTGTGGGTTATTACATTATGTTTGAAATTGCCATGGCAACAAGCTGGCAATCAAGGGTAATTGCACTTGTCGTCAGGGCAACAGGGCAAAACCCACAGCAGCCACTCTCTGTGGTTGCCCTTGGGGTGCAGTAAAGGTCAGGCTGGATCAGAGCCAATGCCAGTCAAGGGCCTCCAGGGCTGTCTAGAAAGGATAGGTTGCCAAGGCCCACGGAGTTCAAAAGTGCAGAGGCAGAGCATGCCTTGGGAGAGCCAGGGCACCCTCCATGACCTCATGCCTGGACTCCTGCATTTCCCACACCACCCTGTGCTGGAAACATGCCATGGCACTTAAAGCAAGCAGAACCAGAACTTTTATGTGCTCACAGCTGGTACTTATAGATAGCCCATGGGCCCTCTTCCTCATACTCCCGGTGGCTGAGCCACAGGCTCTGGAAGGAGTTCCGGGATGCCATGATGGAGCCCCCAAGCCAGGCAGCAACTGCCCGGCGGGGAGAGCCCCGCACAGCCGCACCAGGGCCCAGCTCTTGTCTCAGGCGCTCGGGGAAGCCACTCACCAGGGTGCTGCCACCTTCCAGTACCACATTGGCCAGCAGCTGCTCCTGCTGCTTGGCCCCCAACCGGCGGATGCTTAGGAGGGCCAGCTGTGGGAGGCCCGGCTGGTTAAGACCTATCAGATTGGGTTGGAAGAGGGCCTCGGGGCAGCAGAAGCACTCAGAGCTCAGTGTGATAACCTGCTTATCTGGAAGCACAAAGTCCACCCCGGCCTGCGCCTGGGTGCGGGCCCTCTCAGCTGCCACATCCATGGCCATGTAGCAGCAGGCCTCTTTCATCTGGTTGATCAGTCCTGCCTTGGGCAGTGAGTGGCCATTTCTCTGCAGCAGCTGGGCCAGGTAGTCAGTAAGGTCAGCACCAGCCACATCCAGCCGATAGGTGTCGAGTGGGGCCAGATCCCCAGTGAGGATGGGTGCCACATAGGAGGTGCCATGGCCACTGCCCAGCACTAGCCCAGTGGTACGTCCATAAGCATAGAGCGCCAGCAAGGCCTGATGCACTGTCTGCATGGCTGGTACATGGAAATGCTCAAAGAGTGCTTCAGCCACCTTTTCTTGGTTGGTGCGTGGTGAGACGGGCAAGTCGGCTACGAGCACAGCCATCTTCTCAGGCTGCACACCCAGGCTGCAATAGAACAGCTGCTGCCATAGCACCTCTAGTGCATCCCAGTCATGGACCACACCTCGGTTCAGCACTGAATAGGATCCCTCTTGGTTTTCATGCACTGCATACTGTGGCTGGCCCTGGGTTGGGTGCTGCAGCCCCTGAACTCGTGAGGGTATGACACCGAGGACATGGTCCTCTCCAGCCAGTCCACATTTGGTGAATCCTGTGCCTGTATCAATCACTACAGCTGCCATGTCCTGGAAGGGTCCCAGGGATTGGCAGCAGAGCACTGGTGACCACACTGGCAGGGCATCCATGGTGGACACCAGTTCATAGCAGGCCCCACGGGGCAGTCCAAGATGTGCAACCACGGATGAGTGTGTAAGATCCTCAGCTGTCAGCTTGAATGGGGCACTCTGGGACTCAGTGGCCACCATGGCCATGGGCAAGACCTTGTATCCAGTGCCAGGTGTGATTAATGTGATCAAGGAAAGCTGCTCCTCCTGGGCCCTAGGGGAGCTGCCAGGTTGCTGCTGATTCATGATGGAGCGTGGAGCATTACTGATGCCAATCTTGTCTCTACTCTTATAGATACAGGTCTCCTCAGGTGTCAGGGGCACCCAAAGTGCCCCTACATGAGTAGGCAGGCCCAAGGGCTCATCTTTCTGGATGGAGACCTGGCCAGGATCTCCAGGGTTAGGGG